AATTTAATGGAGAAGTACAAACAATTAGAAATGATAATGGTAGAGAGTTTGTAAACTCAGCTATGCAGGATTTATGTACATATATGGGGATAGTTCACCAGAGAATATGTGGCTACACACCACAGCAAAATAGTGTGGCAGAGAGAAAACATAGACACTTGCTTGAAGTTGCAAGAGCTTTCAAATTTCAAGGTCATATCCATATGAAGTTTTGGGGCCATTGTGTTCTGGCTGCAACTTATGTTATTAACAGGCTTCCATTACAAGCACTCAGCGGTAAGTCACCATATGAATTGTTCTTTGGTAGGAAGCCCTTCATATCTCACTTGAAAACATTAGGATGTCTTTGTTTTGCAAGTGCACTACCCAGAACAAACAAGTTTGCTAGTAAAGCCGTCAGAGTTGTGTTTATGGGATATTCTGATGTCACTAAAGGGTACATACTGTATGACTTGGATAAGGACAAGTTCTTTATCAATAGGGATGTGGTGTCTAAGGAGTTCATATTTCCCTTTTCAGGATACAGTTGATGGTGCTAGAGACAAAATTATGCCTTGCATTCCTAATGCTGCTAATGATGTTTGTAATTTTGAAGGTGAAAACATAAAAGGCCCTGCAGCAGGAACAGAACAGCTGGATATCTCTGATGATAATGTAAAAGACCTTATACAACATGTAGAGGATTTACAGGATTCAGACAGTTCTACACAAGAATTACGAGGTTTGGACAACATGTTGCTTGATGCAAATCAACACAGTGTCACTGAAGTCCAAGACTCATAGGCCATCACCTTGGAGATCCCTAATCCTTATATAGTACAGATACCTACTAACACTCTCAGAAGATCACAGAGGGAACTTAAAAAACCAGTCTGGTTGACAGATTATGTAACCACAAGGAAGGCAGACAACATTGCCTTATACCCCATCTACAATTATGTCATATATGCTAATCTCTCTACTTCTTATCAGGCATACTTGGGTATATTCTCCTCAGTTGTTGAGCCTAGAACTTTTCAGGAAGCTTCTAAGGATCCAAGGTGGGTAGATACTATGCATACTAAAATTCAAGCTCTGCAGGCCAACAACACTTGGGAGTTGGTCCCACTGCCTTATAAAAAAACAACTATAGGTTGTAAATGGGTTTACAAGGTCAAGCTTAAGGCCAATGGTGATGTAGAGAGATTCAAGGCAAGGTTGGTAGCCAAAGGATACAATCAGAGAGAGGGCCTTGAATACAATGAGACCTTCTCACCTGTAGTGAAAATCACCACTGTGAGGACAGTCCTTTCTTTGGTGTCTATGCATAATTGGCCAGTCCAAAATTGGATGTCTACAATGCATTCTTGCAAGGAGACTTACATGATGAGGTCTATATGCATCTACCACAGGGTTTTACAAGTCAGGGGGAGTCAAAATTGGTTTGTCGACTTGTAAAATCTCTGTATGGTCTAAAACAGGCAAGTAGACAATGGAACTTAAAGCTGATAGAGGCATTGGTACAAGCTGAGTTCAAACAAAGCTGTTTAGATCATTCATTATTCATCAAGAAGAAAGGAGCAGATATAGTGGTAATACTGATATATGTTGATGACATGTTAGTTACAACAAAAAATTTGAAGTTGATTGAAGCTACCAAAGCCTTCTTGTAGCAGGCTTTTAAGATCAAGGATTTGGGAGAGCTAAAGTTTTTTCTTGGCATGGAGTTCAGCAGATCCAACAAGGGTATTTTGATCAATCAGAGAAAGTATGCATTGGAAATAATTTCAGACATGAGACTAAGTGGAGCAAAACCAGCCTGGACACCATTAGAGACAAATGTCAAACTGACAGCTCCAGAATTGGACAAGCTAATGGGCACAACAGAAGATCAAATGTTGGAGGATGTAGGCCAATATCAGAAGCTTATTGAGAAGTTGTTGTACTTGACTATGTACATGCCAGATATTGCATTCTCAGTACAAACCCTCAGCCAATTTATGTAGCAGCCAAAGAAATCTCATTGGGATGCAGCCATAAGAGTAGTGAAGTATATCAAAAGGAAAACAGGATTGGGAATCCTGCTGAGCAGTCAAAGTTCAAGTAAAATCAATATTTTCTGTGATGCTGATTGGGCCTCATGTCCTAACACTAGGAAGTCAGTATCAGGTTACTTGATCAAACTTGGAGCATCACCAGTTTCATGGAAATCAAAAAAGCAAAACACAGTTTCAAAAAGCTCAGCTGAAGCTGAATATAGAAGCATGTCAAGTGCAGTTTCAGAAGTGGTCTAGCTAACAACATTACTGAGGGAGTTGGGAATAGAAGTGGATCTACCAGTATGTGTGCACAGTGACAGCAAAGCTGCAATGCAAATATCAGCAAATCCAGTGTTTCGCAAAAGAACAAAGCATATAGAGATCGACTGTCATTTCATTAGACAGAAGATACAGGAGGGACTGGTGAAAACTCAATATATTCCTTCAAAAGAGCAGCTGGCAGATGTTCTAACGAAGGGATTAGGAAGACCACAACATGAGTATCTAGTTGACAAGCTGGGAGTGCTCAATGTCTTTGCACCTACCAGCTTGAGGGGGAGTGATGAAATGGGGATTACATGAGCTGTAAGTATCAGTTAGTAGAAATAGAATAGGAGTAGAATATTTGTTATTATATTTTGTTAAATAGGATATATATTTGTACACATGTGAGTTAGTGAGTTAGTTAGAAGGTGATTTGTATATAGGCGGTTAGTTAGGCAATGTAACAGTAGTCTTTCTTTGTTAATCTCAGAAATATAGAGCAAAGCTCTTTCTTCCTCTCTTCTCTCATCTCTGTCTAACTGTCGTTCTCCATTTGATTCACGCAAATCTTCAAAACATTGCTCTATGCAACCATCCCCATGTTCTTTTATTAGTACAAGTTTTTTATACGATAGTATCTAGACTAACTTTTGCATATTCCATCAAACACTTTTTGTTTCCCATCAATATGTGTATCAGATGATTTAATTTGCTTACCACAATTTAAGCAGATAAAAAAAATTATTCAATGATTTTTGCCTCTGCTTGAATTTCTCTGCTATTCTCTCATTGTTTTTTCTAGTTTCTTTGGATGTTATGTTGTACCTTCAGGTATAGATGTCAAATAATTCTTTGAAAATCGACTGACCTACCAAAGCAAAACTTACCGAATCGATTGTTCTAGTTTTCTTAGTAAAATCACACATTTCGTTATAAATTTATGATCATACTGAATAATAGGGGCATGTTTTTATTTTTCTAAGACATAAAAAAAAAATAATGAACTAAAATGCATAAATTATATGTATAAAATATAGTATTACATATGTTATGCTTAAAAATAACAAAGCATTAAAAATTTTGACCTCGAACCGTGGGATGGATTCAGATGACAACGGCTATACACATCACTCAAACCTGCGCAATTTTCAGAAGCTTTGTGATATTTGCGTCAAAAGTCAAGTCTATACTTTTGTTACAAATGATAATTTATGTCTTTTACACTGCAAATTTTCATATAGCAACCATTAACTGCTCTAAAATAGAATAATATGTATTTTTGGTATGGAAGTGTACAACCTGCGTTGTTGTAATCGGTGTTTTAAAAGGCGTGAGCGTAAGTCGAGCTGTTTTATATATGCCTCAGCGAGGTATAAGCCCCGAGGCACAGAGCATATATAAGCCCCATAAATAATTAATTTTTAATATTTCATAAAATAATATAATTACAGTACATATTTTTAAGTAGGTAAAATTGCATAAGAATTGAAGAAAACTATAAATAAGTAAAATATATATGTAGCTATGCTCTATCCCTATAAAAAATTAGTTAAATCAATCCATTATACGCTATTTACAAGCACAAGTTGCTTAAAAAAGTTCAGCATAATTACATAAACTCTCATTTGGGAACAAAATGAATAATTCAACATTAGGTGTCAAAAAATATTTTCACTTTATCTAGGTTCTTTTCTTGAGTTGGAAATAAAAAAAAATTCTACATGAAGGAACAAATGGGACGATTAACCTACAACTTGAACTTTTGAACTTTTTTCTATGGATGAGATTGAAGTTTTCTTTGTATTTGCAAAAGAAGAAGAAGAAGTGATTGTTCGTTACTTTTGGGTGATAGTAGCACAAGATAAAAAATTGAGAAATATCATAAATTAAGGCTTCTAGCAATAAAAAAAAGGTCTTGATTTTTAAATTTAATGTATCAGTTTCTTTTTAAAACTTTTGAGTAATTACAAGTTAACTTTTAAGAATTTTGGGTATTATATTAAGGTCTTATTCAACAAGTTTTATTTTGATTTGAAGAAGTCTCTCGGGCATACGCCTCACTACAAAGAAGTGCGCCTCTATGCTCCGGATTGTTGGGCGTACGCCTTTCGCCCCACCATCGCCTCCGGGTATTTTTAATGCGCCTCACTGCTTGTAACCACTGTAATGTAAATTAAAATCTACCTTGTCCACTACAAGTATATCATATACTTTATACGTTATATTAAAGTTTGTTATTGTCTTACACTCTTACACATAACAATTGACACATCTAATAGCAATACAACTCTTACATGACATTTTAAAAATAATTTACGAAAAAAATAAACTTATATTGATTCCAAAAAGAATCAAGATAATTAAGACACTCCCAAAAAGTCCAATTATTAGGTACTATAAGATTAAGAGGGTGTTTGGCTAAGCTTATAAGCTGGTCAAACTGGATTATAAATATTTTTTGGCTTATCTACGTGTTTGGTAAAATTAAAAGTGCGTATAAGCCAAAAGCCATAAGTTGGTCTCCCCCAACTTATCAAATTTCAGCTTATAAGCACTTTAGGTTTGACCAAAATATTTACTATTCTATCCCTAAAATACTTCTTTTTAAAACAAAACTATTAGTATACCCAGTTCTTTAACTGCTTATTATTAATTTCAGCACTTTTATACTGCTTTTTAAAAGTGATACTGTAAATTAGCTAAGCCAAACGGGCTCTAACTCGAAAATGTAATTGATCGAATCCAACCATTGGCACCTTCACGAGCAAAATCAGCATGTGAGAAAGAAGCAGCTCTCCATATACGACCTGCAAATTCCATCTCGTTTGGGTCCAATCCGTCTTCCTTTCATTTGCTCGCTCTTGAAATACACGGAAAAGTAGTAATCAGTGAGAAATTTACACTCTCTATTCTCCTGTAATATGGTGAAGAATCTCCAGCAAAGTATTACTGGTCTGAAATTATTATGGTTCTTCGATTTTCGTCATACGGTACCAATTCTGGAACCCTAGCCTCTTCCTCAGCAGCTCAAAAGGAGAAGGACGATCTGTACCAAAGGTTGTTACCATATGCGCCCTCTACTGTGTCCATGACTCCAATTATTAACCAATGGGTTCGCGAAGGGAAGACCGTGGAGTATGCAGTCCTCAAAAAAGCTATCAAACAGCTTAGGGCATATCGGCGTTTCAAGCATGCTCTCCAGGTTCCACCCTCCTCTATCTCAGGATTGCTGTTTATTTTGTATGTTTCTATTAATAAGAATGAATTGCGTTCTTTATTCAGTTTAATTTTGAAACGGGTCGAGAGCTAACTGTAGGGAGTATTGATGTCCCTGAGCCCTAAGGGACTTTCTTGGTCGTTCAATTTGGGCAAAGTGCACAATAGCCGTTTTAGGACCCTATTTAAAGAATAACTAAAATTTATAAAGTTTTTAAGTTTACTCGCCTCAGAATCAACTTCACATATGCGGGTCTGAGGATGGAATTGGACTCTGCCAAAGCTTAACCTCAGACCTAAAGTTTGAGCTTTCAAATTTAGACCTGGGATTTGAAGTTAGGCTTTGTCCGAGCCCAACTTTAGACCCGTATATCTGAATTTGAACTTTGTTTTTTCAAACGTCGGACCTTCTAGTATGAAATTAGGCTTTGGCAAAGCCCAACTTCAGAACCGGAGCTAAGAAGCAGCAACAGCAAGAGGTTCAGTCTGAAGTAGCCAAAGCTGGCTAAATTTTAATTAATTTTTAAAACTGGATATATGCTTTAAATACGGGTGCTACAAGAAGCTACTTGATGTTATTCCTACGTTTCAATTTTGAATTGTTTAGATTGGATAGTGAGAACATGAAATACTTGAATCAACTGATTTTTAATAACCCGCCCAAGCTTAAAAATGGGTGGGGTCATGATCCCTTCGTTGTCTTGATCTGTGACCGAATGGGATGGGTTTAACTCAAAATGATCCATCAAGCAAAAGAGGTCTAAATAGTGTAACTGAATGGGTAAAAAAATGCAACACGAACCACATAAAATGACTTCGAAAAGAGAAAGTAATATTTTAGCTTTCTTGGATACATATCATTTCTATATGAGAGGAGGAAGATTCCTAAGCGACTTCAACAATTTGGCACAAAGATCAATAGATTCACCAGGACAAAATATAAATTTCGTTATTAAAACTTCATCAACTTATAATTTCATGTTACATAAATGGAGCATATATTACTTAAATATACTCATGTCTGAACTCTGAACTAAGATTAACGGCTTGGGGGTCAAAACAATATACAGTTAAAGTCTTAGAATATTTAAATCTAATGCATCTTTAGCATGCCTGTAATACATTTTCGTACATATTGTAAAAGTATTACAATAATGGAGATTCTCCAGAATCTTGGCCACTGAAAAGCGAATAGAGAAATTTGGGAATTGGAAGTTCATAAAGAAAACGTGGGATTTGGAAGTTAGCTCTCTATAAATTACTCTACTCACAGAAGTTATTTCATTTGCAGGGGTTTCTATAAGTTTTTGAAGAGAAATAACGGAAGGGAGGTTAGATCACGTTGGATGGATTGGGTCATGACCAGTTATTTGACCCAAAAATACTTTGGTCGGGTTGGTTATGACCTGTTCTTTATTTTGAATCATTTTGAGTTTTAATCCAATCGGCACGTTTGCTACCGCTACTTGCATATTTTAGTCTCTCAGGGGTTTGGAGTAAAAGGGTCAAATCATGTCATTTTTATTTCAATCAGGACATGAGTCTTCTAACTTTTTTTTTTTGAATTGATAACTTTTGTATATATTAATAACATCAGTACATAGGTTGTACTGAAACCAGATTTACAAGTAAGTGGTAAGTAGATGTGCTGGTGTGCAACCTAGCAAGATCCTAGTATGTCTACGATTGTCAATGTATCTTCTGTGTAAATCTGTTTATACCAAAAACAAAAAAGAAGAATACAATTGAGTTTGATCTTCTGTACTGGGTTGCTTGTATCTTTAAAACATCTAGCATTCCTTTCCCTCCAAACTGTCCACCAGATACAAGGCGGGATAGTCCTCCATCTATCTCTGTTAGTTGCTTCAGCACCAGCTTCTTCCCAACTATAAAGAACTTCATTAATCCTGCATGGCATTGTCCATGAAATACCCCTAAGACTAACAAAGATTTTCCATAGTTGGTCTGTTATCTTGCAATGTAGAAATAAATGGCTAACAGTCTCAGCGTTTTCCCCACATAGGAAACATCTTAAACACAGAGAAATTCCTCTTTTTATGAGATTATCTTGGGTTAATACAAGCTCCTTTGCTAGTAGCCAAGAGAAACATGCTACCTTATATGAAATCTTTGTTTTCCATATATGCTTCCATGGCCAAGCACTATGTGAAGATCATTTTGATTCAAAATCTTATATGCATCCTTCACCTGATAGACCCCTCTGTTGTGCCTCTACCACCAAAGTGAATCCACCCCTTCCTGTAATCCTTTAAATGCTTCCAGCTCTTTGTAGAGGTTAGTTAATCTTGTTATCTCCCAATCATTCAGCTGTCTTCTAAGAGTGAGTTCCCATCCTTGATAACTCCACATATCAACTACTGTCCTATGCTGGTTTTGTGCTAAACCAAACATATCGGGGTATCTTTCCTTTAGACTTCCATGTCCCAACCAATTATCATTCCAGAATGATGTGTTCCTTCCGTTGTTCACTCTTATGGAAGAGTGAATCTTCATTATAGGCCAAAGTTTTCTGATGGATTTTCACACACTAACTCCATATAATGTGCTTACTTTGTTTGACACCCAGTTATTTTCCTCACCGTACTTAGCTTTGATCACTTTGCTCCATAAAGTTTGAGGTTATTGAGAATATTTCCATAGCCATTTCATTCTAAGAGCCTTGCTTTGATTCTTCAAATTTCTTATTCCTAAACCACCTTGTTTTTTGGCCATTGTGAGGGTCTTCCATTTAACTAAATGGAAGACCTTTTTCTCCTTATTCCCTTGCCAAAGGAAGGATCTTCGGAGTTTGTCCAGTCTCTGTATGATTCCGGCAGGAATTGGGAACAAAGACATCATGTAAGTAGGAAGTGAGTCTAATACTGAGTTGATTAAAACTAGCCTGCCCCCATTGATAGGTATTGCGATTTCCATCTTGACAGCTTCTTCTCACACTTTTCAATGACTGAATTCCAGATCTCTTTGGATTTGGATCTTGCTCGTTGGTAGGGACCCTACTTCTCCTCCCATTATCTGTATCAGTTGCTCCATGTTATTAACTTCATTAATGGGATAAATATGGCTCTTTCTCCAGTTGATGTGTAGTCCCGAAATTCCCTCAAATAAGACCAAGATGATCCTTAGAAACCTAAGTTGCTCCTCTTCAGCGTCACAGAAGACTAGAGTATCATCAGCATATTGAAGATGTGATCTCTAGACTGTTTGCCCCATTCCTGTGAACCTCGAAACCTTTAACCTATCCATTGACTTTGGCCGTTTTAATCATGTTGTTCAGTCCTTCCATGGCTATAATGAATAGAAAGAGAGATAAAGGATCACCTTGTCTTAGACCTCTGTGTGCATGGAAGAAATCTTTAGGAGATCCATTTATGAGAATGAAGAATGTAACAGTAGATATGCAAAATTTCATCCAACTGATCCATTTCTGCCCAAAACCCATTTGTTCTAACAATTTCAGTAGAAAGCTCCAGTTGACATGATCATAAGCCTTCTCAATATCTAGTTTGCATAGGATTCCGGGTTCTTTCTTTTTGATTCTTGAATCCACAGCTTCATTAGCAATCAACACTGCATCTATTATTTGTCTTCCTCTGATGAAAGCCATTTGTTGAGCATCTACTAGTTTTCCTACCACCATCTTAAGTCTTTCAGTCAAGACTTTTAAGAGCAGTTTGTAGAAACTCTCTATCAAATTGATTGGCCTGAAATCTCTCAATTCTTTCACACCTGTCTTCTTTGGAATCAAGGCTATGTATGTTGCATTGAAGCTTTTCTCAAACATCTCGTGGGAATGGAAGTTGTTGAAGGCCTCCATGATGTCGTGCTTCAAAATATCCCAGCACTTAATGAAAAAACCCATTGTGTATCCATCTGGACCTGGGGCCTTGTCAGTTGCACACATCTTCAGACAACTCAAGACTTCTTGTTCCTCAAATTTACTCTGTAAAGACTCTTTCTCTGATTCAGAGATTTTTGGACTGTTTTCGAAATTGACTGTCGGTCTCCACTCTTCAGGTTCTGTGTATAACCCCTTGTAGAATTCAATGATCACATTCTTTATTCTGTCTGGCTCCTCAACTGCTTCATCTTGAATCATTAGTTGATCAATATTGTTGTTTCTCTTGTGTGCATTGGCAGTACGATGGAAAAACTTTGTATTCCTATCCCCTTCTTTGAGCCACAGAGCTCTTGATTTCTGTCTCCATGCACTTTCTTCGTTCTTGAGATGATCTTCGAACTCCATAAGGGTAGCTACCTTCCTCACTGATTCCTCCTCTCTAAGAGCTCTTAATTATTGTGTTGCCTCAAAACCTGCCAATTGACTCAACAATTTTGATTTTTGCAATCCCAGATTTCCTTTACAACTTCTGCTCCATTCTTTTAGCTTGCCTTTGAGAGCTTTTAATTTGCAAGCTAAAATATAGTCTGGTCTTCCTGAAAATTCAAAAGATGTCCACCATTTTCTAATTCTGTCGTCAAAACCTTCCATGTTCAACCACCAATTTTCAAACTTAAAGTATGATTTAGCTTGTTCCCAGGCACCACAGCATAGAGCCACTGGTGAATGGTCAACAATCAGCCTTTGTTGGAGAGTTTGCTTGATATTTCTGAAGCTTTCATCCCATTCTTCTGAAATGAGAAATCTATCAATTCTAGACGCGGTTGTATGATTATCCCCTTTGAACCAAGTATAGGAGCCTCCTTCGAGTTGAAGATCTATCAACTCCGTGTATTCTATAAAATCCGAGAATTCCACCATCTCTATGGACCTCCTCGAGCATTCCCGTTTTTCAGAAGGGTACCTTGTGACGTTAAAATCACCACAGACTACCCAAGGGCCTTCCATCAATCCCCTCACTACACCAATTTCTCTCCATACTGTTCTTCTTTCTATTCTGCAATTTGGAGCATACACTCCTGTTATATGACATTGAAAATTTTGTAAAAGAGCCTCGAACTTGCATG